CATTTCCGTTAACCATCCGTTAGAAACTTAACGGTGACCCAAAACTGGCAAATTTCAGTAAAGTAAGGATTATTATGCATCACAATGAAAGGTGGGATTATTTTTGAAAGACTCGGTAAAGTTGGGATTATTTTGAGTAATTTTTCCTTGAACTTTGATGTTCTAGTTAATCATCTAGGCATAGGTGACCCGGAAGGTGTGCAAAGTAGCCAACCGCATATGGCCCCTAAAATTTTAGGGCTCCATGTTTTTAAATTTGTTGATAATTTTAAAGTAAAAGTATTCTAAAAAAATAAAATAAGGCCCAAAACGTAAATTTTGAACTAGGCCAATTTTATTTTTCATTTTTCGGGACCGGCCTTGCATCTAGGGTGATCATTTGAAAACAATCATTCCCAAGTAACTAAATTCGGTTCGTCTAAGTTAGAGAAGATTTTTAAATATGTAAGATTTATTTTTTATTTCTATACCAAACTTTAAATAAAATGAATAGAAAAATTTAAGACTTTACTTCATTATGTATAAAGTGTCAATCTTTTAAAGGCGGAAGGAGTATTTAAATTTAGTTTTAGAATAGTGGGCATTTGTGTTGTGTAAGAACTTAAAAAATATACTCACTCCGTCCCTAAATAAACTTCTGTTTTTGACTTTTTAAGGATTTAAGGGAGGGATATTTTGGTGTTGACTTTCCAAAAATACCCTTGATGTGATGTGTAAAAGTAAGATGTGATATGTAGATTATTAGTAAAAAGGTATGATGTGATAGGTAGAGTATGAAAAAGTAAGGGGTGAAATTTTTTTAGGGAAAAGAGAAGTTTATTTGGGGACAAAGAAAAAACGAAAGAGGAAGTTTATTTAGGGACGGAGGGGGTATATTAATACAGCCACACCATCAAATTATTCCCTCCAGCTCAAATTAAATTACATGTTTACTATTCGTTGGGTCAAACTTCATTCACTTTTTTCCTATTTTCATTAGTTATTTGATAAGATAATATAGTCATATCACAACTACTTTTGCAGGTCTTCTGATATAGATTTTAAATATGTAAATTTTATTTTTTTAATTCTACACTATTCTACATATATAATATTTGAACAATCAAACATCGTAAACCCAAACATGCTTATTACATTGGAACGGAGGGAGTATATACCAAGTACCACTAACCTTAAAATATCTAAGGGGCTGTTTGGCAACTTCTGAATGGGTAAGTGCTGAATCAGTAAGAGGTCTGAACCATTAAGTGCTGAACCAGTAAGAGGTCTGAACCATTAAGAGCTAGTATATTGCTTAACTATTCAGAGGCAAATGTCTGATCAATTCAGATAAGAGATATTAACCATTCAGACTCTGTATAATACTTAACCATTTAGAGGCAAATCTCTTAACCATTCAGACTTCTGAACCATTAAGAGGCTGAAACAAACAGTCTGAACCATTAAGTGCTGAATCATTCAGGGCTGAAACAAACAGTCCCTAAGTCTACAAGTCTACACCCTAAGCAACTTTGTTAATTATAAATCTTTACTCAAGAAAAACATTTGGATCTACCCAAAGTAAACTATTTGTACATTAAGACTACAGACCATACTAGATAGGAACTGTGGCCTTATTTGGTCTTGGTTTTTGTTGTGAGGACCAGACTAGTTAGGACCGATTCGTAAAAAGACTAGTCCAGTCTAATCCTCTATAGTAGCAATTTTTTAAGAAAATCGGTCCAGTCTGACCGCATCGGTCCTTTTGCTCTTCTATAGTCCAAACAAAGCTCTCTGGATTTAGTGTTGGGCCGGTCAATCCACCTTTTATATTCCCAAAGTCAAAGCCCATCTTCCAATTCAATCCCCAATTAGTACTTTAATTTATACTTCACACCCTAAAAACCATCTCTCAGATGATTTCAACAAGACCGTTCGGAGCTCCGGTCTTCAATTCAATTCCTCCGTCTTCAACCTCGTCCCGTCCAGGTAATGCTCCATCTCCATCTCCATTCACTCTCTGCGCCTTCCAATTTCTCGCCGTCATTATCGATTTTTTTTCTTAAAAAATTTGAAATAAAAATTCAGTCTTTGTTTCAATTGGCCGCACGGGGAAACTCAATATTTGTTTATTATTTTATCGATGATTGTTTGTTAGATCTGTTGTCGAAATTTCCCAATTCGAAACACCCCAGCTCTACGAATCTCGTGCGTGTAGAATGCGACTCTGTGGATGTTTTTTTTACGTATTGGACATGTTTTTTGAATTGGTATTTTATCTGTTTTCAAATTTTTGATTTTTATATAAAATATTTAATAGCGAGATGATTTGCCTGTGTTTTCTTATTAATCTGTGTTTCTTTTGCCTGTTTTCAAAATATTAGAATTATCTGTTAGTTTAAGATATATTTTTTAATTTTTAATATTATTGTCTATTACAAAATATCTGAAGTACTGTATTACATTATGAAATGTGTGCCCTTTTTCAGATCTTTTTTACGAGTATTATTTATCAGGCAAAAATAAAACCTTACAGAGATAGAGATGCTGGGTTATGGGCTTTATGGTGTGAAAATGTCAAACATTGTTAGTTCAATGAGACCTATTTTTTCTTTTTTTGGGAAAAAATGTGAACATTCTTTAAGAAAAATACATTTCAAGTTAGAATTTTGTCATTGACAACCACAAAACAGACATCTTTTTTTCCAGAATTTGAGTTCTGAAACAACAAATTATTTTACAAACACGTTAGCGATCAGTATGGGCATTTTACCCCTACTTCAAAAGCAACAATAAAGCCTGTAGAATCCGAAAAGATAGTAGGATTTGGGGAGGGTGTGTGTAGTAGTGTGAACGTAGACCTTGCCCCTACTTGGGGAGTGCAGATATTGTTTCATAAGAGACCCCGGCTCACTCTATGTCAGAGCCTAGCTTTAAAATATTTGACCTTTTTTGGTTACATGCTCCAATTTAAATTTCTAATAATAATGTGTGCTAGTTTTCATTTGGATGATTGCGGGTATCTAGGAGTCATTTAGACGGTGAAAAGGTTTGATTTTTTTCCCGGTTGATTTGTGTTTAGGAGGCTAAGAAATCATGGAAAAGGAGCTTGTTGAGCTATACGAGGTGGTGAGAAAGGCAGCTGAGGCGGCTGCCGTTGAAGGAGATGATGCAGAGGAAGCAAGGTGCCTTGATGCTATGAAGCAGCTGAAAAAGTTCCCTGTAAATTACAATGTCCTTGTCTCCTCTCAGGTAAAAAATGTTATTAGTACATACCCCTGAGTATTTGGTTCTGAAGAGGAAGGGTAACTTTGTCAACTCACTACAATGACAACGATTATTTCGATTCTATATAAGACTCAATTTGATGCTCAACCATAATTCAGATCCAAATGGATTTTAGGATGGATTAGTGGTGGGACGTGATCCCGAGCCCAAATGAGCAGCACTGTAGGACTCGAAATGGCTCGGTGTCACAAGAAGTGGCCTCATTTGTTATAATGGAATTCGATACGACATGTTTACAACTTGCCTAAATGAAACTGGATTGGTTACCTCATCTAGTGGAATTTATGTTTTACTACTATACAAGTATATTTTAGGAAATCAATGTCCATCAAATATTTTTTTATTCTTAATCTTGTGAAATGATTATCAGGTTGGGAAAAGCCTTAGGAAGCTAACGAAACACCCAAGGGAGAAGATCAAGGCTTTGGCTTCTGATATAGTTGAGATATGGAAGCAAATAATCGTAAGAGAAACCATGAAAAACAAGAATTCCGAAAATCCTGCAAGCCAGAAGCCAGAAAAGCCAGAAACCATGAAAAACAGGAATTCCGAAAAACCTGCGAACCAGAAACCAGAAAAGCCACCCATTACCGCAAAGCCAGAAACCGTGAAAAACAAGAACCCCGAAAATCTCGAGGATCCCGATAAGAGAAGCCATAAAGTTCCAAAAACTCTCCCCTCTGCGAAGCCCGAGAGGTCAAATCCGTCATTCTCCAAAAAACCAGAAAATCCCGCCCCGCCAAAACTCTCCAGCCTCATTTACACCAAAGACGCCGACAGGGACCAGCTGCGGGAAGCCATAGCAAACGCACTATGCAAAGTCGCCGGCGAGTCGGAAGGCAACGATGACATCATCGCCAACGTCAGCGCGTGCGACCCCTACAGAGTCGCCGTGCAGGTGGAGACCGCCCTGTTCGAGAAGTGGGGCAGCGCGAAAGGCTCCAACAAAATGAGGTACCGATCCGTGAAGTTCAACCTCACGGACGGCAAGAACCCCGACTTCCGGCGCCGGGTGCTCCTCGGGGAGTTCCCGCCGGAGTCGGTTCCGGAACTGACCCCGGAGGACATGGCGAGCGACGAGAGGAAGATGCAGAACGAGAAGATAAAGGAGAAGGCGCTGTTCAACAGCCAGAGGGGCGGGCCCTCCGTGGCGAGCACCAACGCCTTCAAGTGCGGCAAGTGCGGGAAGAGAGAGTGCACCTACTTCCAGTTGCAGACGCGGAGCGCCGATGAGCCCATGACCACTTTCGTCACCTGTACCAACTGTGACAATAGATGGAAGTTTTCGTAGAAGAAGAAGAAGAAGAAGAAGAGTTTGTGCTGTCACTTGTGTGGCCAAATTCTTTATGTCTTTGTGTTGGTTGCATTGTAAGCCCTCTCTCTCTCTCTCTCTGTCCTTCAGTTAGGTACTATCAATCATTTCTTGACTATTTGCTGGTTTTGTTTTCTAAAATCCTTCATTTTATTGCTGAAGGTTCTTCTTTGTTGTATGATTTGACATTCTTTTTCAATAATCTGTAGTATTTGTAGTTGGGAGACCTTTGGGTCTTTAGTTTGTAACTTATATGCTGGTGCTTTTTTTTTAAAACCTTAGTCTATAGCTTGTACATGTGCATTTTTTGTGCTTTAGATCTAGCACTTGCTAGTGCCACTATTTGTTCATGTTACTATGTTTATCTGTGATTCTTGCTGTTGCACAAACGAAGAACATACAGAGACAAACAGAGAACGAAACCGTAACAGCACATTTAGTCGAATCAAACCGAACCCATAAAAAATCGAACATTAAAAAAAATCTCGGAGTATGAGAATTTATGTATGGGTTTCATTTGCTCGCAAACTCATCAAAAAAACAACTATATGTGTAGAGAATCCAAACTGGCAGTTCCTCTGTAATCCAAAAAAAGACATTTGAATTTACATTGCACAAATTTGCAGGTCTGTTTGGAAGGAGGGCTTTGATGGGTAAGTTTTTGAAGGCTTTTTAGTCTATATTACTTTATCTTGATAAATGTAAGATTTTTTAAAAATTAAATAACACTAGAATATTAACATTATATACTATCCTAAAACATTTCAATAGCCCTTTATTCACTTTTTTTTTTTTTAAAAAAATCATTCTATATATAGACTAAGCTCTCAATCCAAACAGACCCTGAGGGACAAGAATGGATCTCACTTCTTCATCACTTGACTGACCGTGGAGTATCCCATGAGCCGGTGAAGTGGCGAAGACGATTCTCTCCCCACGTTTTCCGGGGTCCCATTGCTGATGTCATCATCCTCGCTGGGTGGAGGCGCTACCATCTCCTTGAAGTGCGGGACCACGTGTTTCCCATTCTGAACTGAGAATCTGAGGATGTTCCTGCACGCGTGGCACCTCAGTCGGTGGAATCTTCTCTTGAAGAGCCCAAAATCCGCCGGAATCTTCAACAGCTCCGAACAGTAGTGGCACGCTACGATGGGGGCCCCACTGGCCACCGGAAGAAGATGGCGCTTTTTAGCATACTTCTCCCTCAGGTGGAATCTCTCCAGGCTGCTCAGAGAGGAATGCCCTGGACTTGGTGAGCTTGAGCAAGGGGTATTACAGTAAATGCAGCCCCCGGGCAGTTGTGCTGAGGAACGCTGGACCTCTCCCGAAAAGGGCATTCTCGGAATTTGAGATTGTCTTGAATGATATGTACTGTGAGGGCAGTTTCCATTCCCACGACGAAGTTTGTCAATTTGGTCTTCGAGCTCATAGATCATCTTCCTCAAGAGTTCTATCCTGTCAGGTCCTGCTGGATCAGCAGCGACCGTGCTGCTGGAGGGGCCAAAGTCTGATTTCCTATAAGTTGAAGGGCCACCGCGGGAATTCATTGTATTCATGTGAAATGGATCTCTGTTGGCATTTGCTACGCTTTGGAGACGCATTTTGCAGATTTGGTCCTCAAGTTCACAGATCGTCCTCACGAGCTCCATCCTGTCAGGCTCTGGGTCTATGATCCCGCTGCTCGGTGGCCCAAAGTCTGATTTCCTAGAAGTTGAAGGGCTTCCATGGCAATTCATAAAAAAGGGGACTTTATCAACACTGAGGATTTCTCCTTCCCCATCACAAGAAGATGCACTGCCATCATAACAGTCATAAAAGCTTCTGTCCAAACCACGGGAAATTTCCTTGTCGGAACTTTCATGGCGAATGCGCGCGGTGTTCTCCGATGACACGCTCCCGTTTGCGGGGCTTTGGTCTGCTGCTTCTGTACACATGTGTGATTCTGGGCTCTCGAGCTCGCGTGTGATTCCGGAGGGGCAAAATGGGGAAGAACTTTCCTGGCTTTTTGAGCCTGGAAGCTTTTCGCCTCCGCATTGTTCCTTTTCGTCTTGGTTCCTTTCGATGCCGGTTTTTCCCTTCAAAGTGTCGTCTCTTTCAGGGGAGGGAGACGATTCTTTGTGGGGCCCATTGGTTTCGTTTTCAGCTGAACTCCGAGGCTGTTCCGCCTCTACAGGAGCACAGGAGGGCTGAGGATCAGTGCTATCATTTTTCCTTCTCTTAGCTGTATATCCACACAAAAAAGTGAGTTGAGTTAAGATCATATGGATAAATTTAATAATAATAATAATAATAATAATAATAATAATAATAATAATAGGTAATGATAATCAAGATGATGATGACCTTGAAGAATTGTGCCACAGCCTCCACATTTGTAGACAGGAAAATCTGCAGGCTCTTGAAGAAGATGAAGGCATTTGGGGCATCTAACAGTTCGAACTTTAGCATTCATTTCATTACTCATTTCACTCCAAAGCTACTAATTTGCAGCATGGTCAGTCAAAATCTGGAAAACATTAATAATAAAAAAACAAAGTTTTCTCTTTTAGATTCATGGAGAAAAAGTGTATCTTCTCTTCTTTTGAGCCACCAAAGAAAAAAAAAGGAAAACCAGAAGATTATTGTTCTTTCTACCAGAAAGAAAAGAAGGGCTTTCTCTTCTTTTATGACCAAAAAGGACACAAGGTGCAATGTTGTAAAAAGTGTGGGGCGCTCCTTAGAAGGCACGCTAGGTTCTACCAATGGGGAAAAAACCTTGGCGTGGCTAAGGAGGGCCCGCACTTGCATGGAGAAAGCGGATTCGTGGAGGGGGCAAATCCGTCAACAAACAACCAAGTGAAGTTCCACAATGTGATGGGTGTACGCAGACCGTTACCCTTGCCCAATACTTGTAAAAAGAGTTCATTTCCAAAAGACCAGGGTTCAAAGAGACTCTCCGGTTGTAGAGAAATAAGGCCTCGTTTGGAAACAACCTCTTTACTTTTGAGTCAGGGTAAAGTATTCGTACATATACACATCCTCCCCATACTCAATTTCCTATGATGTTTTACTGGGAGGTCCATTCTTTCAACATGATTTCACCCAATTCCTAACCCTAATTCAATTCCATCCACCAGATCCCTCTTTCAAACAATGAATTCTTGATAATATATGCAACCAAGGGGAAAAAAATGCAGAATTTGGAAACAACTAAGGCCAGGCTTTTCCACAGTACAATACACTATTTGTTTGGATCCCTCTCATCAACTGAGTGAAAACCAAACAGATTTCTCTCTCAAACAATAGAAACAAATCCGAATTCAAAAACAAAATATGAACTCAAATCAGACTTATACGCACATCAAAATTGGAATTAAAAGCATAACCCTATGAGCTCAAATTAGAAACCCAGTTCCAAAATTTTCAGATTATTCACCCAAAAAAAAAAAGAAAATCATACCTTTCAGAGAGCTGAGAGACAGAAAAGATCAAAGCTTTGACCATAATCATATCAATATATATACAGATTATAATAGTATTAAGAATGCGAAGAAAACGAGTCAAAGGGATTGAAAGAAGAAGGAAACTCAGTACGTACAAACTGAGTCAAAGAACTTAGAAGCGAGTTCGTTATGGCCGAGTCTCTCTCTCTCTAAAATGAGGTGATGAGATGAGAGAGAGAGAGGCTTCTGAGTTAGCTCAGCCCGTCTGCCAACAAATGCCGTTATTCTTTTTTTTTTTCTTTTTCTAGTTTTGTTCGTTTTTTATTTATCAGTAATAAAATGGTTGTTGTTAATGTTGAATTTCTTGGTGAAAAGGTTTACCAGTTTTGGTGATGCATGATTTGCTGGTTTCAATGGGGAAATGTAAAAGGATTGCGGCACCTACTTTGCTTGTTTGCCACTTTTACCACCCTTTGACTTTGTTAGTCAAACTATAAAATTTCTTTACTCTAAATTTTAAAAAAATATATATTTAGTTATAATATAAATTTTAGAAAATTGGGTTTATTTTAAAATATTAAAATTTATAATATTTAATTATTTATAATTAATGTTCAAGAGATGCCACAATTTAACCGAAAATGTCAAACTTTGGCAATCTTTTTAAGGATGAATGACGTATATTTTTATGTGGATTTACAGGTTAGATGGTAAGTAAATGTTACATTTTCTACTTTCTTTAAATAAAATTGCCTCTCTTTTCATTATTATTATTATTATTATTATTATTATTATTATTATATTTGAATTGTGATTGTTTAAAATGGAGTATATCTAAATTTAAGACAATACAACAACAACATTATCCGAGTGGGGGGATCAAATGTACGCTGACCCCTATGTTTAAAACGTAGAGCGACTATTTTCAGATGACCCACGATGATCATCGAAAGTTGCATTGACCAACTACTACTTCACTATTACAAGAAGCGCAGACAGTTTAGAAAACCAATTTGCTTTATTCCATAATATCCCAAAGCTAAAAAATAGTGAATCTTCGGCTTCACAGGAAAATGAAATTATCTAAATTTAAGATAATCGTGCCATAAATTATATTGTTAGTCTCGAATGTACATTTTTGATGCAAGATATAAAATAATTTTTGTAATGGTGTGAGAAGGTCCACAATGTATAGCTCGTAGATTTTAGGATCAACAAAAAAACAATTTTTAAAAATATATATTTCCTCTGACTCAAATATTAAAAATCACATTTAATTTATTTTAATATTTTAGATATTTTTTGGGTGTGCTCAATATACTCTCTTCACATCTAGAAGAGAGAATTATTCTAGACCACTCATTTCAATTTTTATTTAAAGTGAACTTTATATTTGGAGAGTTTAGAATTTGAGATACATTTTATTTATTGGAGGAGAAAACAGCATTGAAATCAATAATTCCGAAGAAATAAACACCACTAGTTGAAATAAGTGGCTCTAGTTGAAAACAATAATTAATGAAATCAATGACAATTATCCAAATGCCTACCCTAATAATTGAATGAATTGAACTATTTTATCCCTTCTAAAAAATCACATTGTTTACGGTGTTAGTGTAATGTTATTCCAAAATACAGATTTACAAATCGAGGTAGGTAAGTGAGCAAGTTGTGCTGCCACTCTTTTCTAAAACTATATTTGTTTTGTCACTGCGAGGCCACCTGTTGTACTCTTGGGCATTGCAGGAGGGACAGAATTTGCTACCCATCAGCCATTTCACAGCACAGTGCAAATGAAAAGCATGGTTACATTTGAGATGTGTTACCCGGTCCCCAACTGTGGCACCGCGCGAGCAAATGCCACAAACATCCATCAGATCCCACCCCTGCTCCACACTTTCCACTCTGATCTTGGGCAGCCTGCGCAAGTAACTTGAGGGCACTGGTCCCACCGGGCAGGGCTCCGTGCCCTCCACTATGTGCAAGGAAATTGGGCGCAGCCGGTCAGGCTGGATTGCCCTGTCAAAGGTGGCAGTGATCGCCTCGCCTGCCTGCTGCACAGTGCAGACTTCAATCTCCACCACAACAGGGACAACAGCTAGGGTAGGATGAAAGGCCTCCCTCTCTCTGGCAAACTCCATAGCAGAAAGACACAGAGTTTGAGCCTCATCCAATGTCATCCAGTACTCATCCCATAGCCTGCCACCCATTACAAATAAGAGATGCATGTCGCTGAAGCAGCAGGCATTGAACATCTCTGAACCCAGAGCAGTACGCGTGCCTTCTTCGTCTTCCACAACGAACTTGGTTCTGAACTCATACCAAATCCATTGGGAGTGACCAGTAGCACTCCTGCTTGGATATGCAGGGGGTGCATATCGTTCCATTATCTCATCATCCATCCACAACTCATGACGATATGCATATCCGAATCTACTGCCCATCTCTCCCTGCCAACAAACAAGAAGATACAGATTTTGAGACGGTCCATGATGATCCCTTGATCTCACTAAGATTTAGGAGACCATCAATTCAATTAACCAATGAACCAAACATGGAGATTTACATATCAAAATAGTTAAGAGAAATCGAATTTACAAGGTTGAGCTTCTTCTTCTTCTTTTTTCTTTTTCCCTGGTATTTTTTATGTATTTATTTACCTGTTACTTTAAACATCAACACTGATTCTAAGTTAAATAAATCCACCAGAAAAGGAAAGACATAAAAGTGGAGTGAAGATTTTCCTTTTTGTCATTTTTTTCATCTTAAAGTTCTGAATCAACCAGACCACTTCATTTTTATAAAAAATTTCTTATTACATGAGTTCCTTTGAATGTATGAAAAATGTTTTACTATAACTTACGTATTAATTCATACTCCTGTATTTAATTTATTTGTGCCGTTGAAATAGAAGTTGTTCTGAAATCTGAAGGAAAAAAAAAGAATTGAAATTAGAAGTATCAGGCCCCGTTTGGTACACGGAATTCAAAGTATGGAATTGGAATTATCAATTCCAATTCTGGTGTTTGCTAGCACAAAAATTATGTGGATTTGAAATTGATAGTGCAAACAATGAATTAGAATTGGTGAATTCAATTCTATGAAATTGAATCCCATGAATTTCAATTCCAATTTCATCAATTCCTATACCAAACGGACCCTCACTCATTGTCGTTTGGTGAGAAGCTATTGAACCAAATTATAATAAATTTTAAAAAACAAACTAACACCAATTTTGGGCAATAGAAGAAAAGAAGGTGAAGATTCTGAAGGAGACGATGCTGAAGATAAGAATATTGAATAAAGACCTAGATCAATTCGATCCTCATAATAATAACAAAACCAATCTAAACATCAATTTGGAAAATAAAATAAATAAAGCCCTAGATCTGTTAGGAGACGAGGATGAAGACAATAGATTGAAAAAACAACTAAAGTTCAAACACCGATATGCATAAATTTAAAAAAACGAAGAGAAATTGAGAGACGTACCTGCGCAGTTGAAGCGAGAGAAATTGAGAGACCTCAATGATCGGGTTCGAAAACGTTTGCAGATTTGCACAGTATTTGTTAGATGATATAATAGCACTAGATATATTTATATAAAAATATGATAACTACGGATTAGTTAAACTTAAGAGAAATTGACTACTCCCTACAACATAGTCTCTCTCCGTCCTATAATCATTTATCTTCCCAGAGCATTATTCCAACTTTAAGGGAATTTATATTTATTTGTGTTTTTTCATGGTCTATATAATAAAATAAAATATTCTTGTCACCACTTGTTTTGTTGAACTTTTGGTGTAGTTTTTAAATATGTATGTTTTATTTTTTATTTCTATACCAATATTTAAATAAAATAGATTAAAAAAAACTTGGGATTTTTATTCGTTTTGCGAATCGGGAAGATCATTATAGGACGGAGGGAGTAATAACTTTAGATAGGACTATATGTTTTTATTTCCCAATATAGGACCTTTAGTCATTATCAAGTAGTCATTATTCAAGTAAATGTCCATCATTACTGGACATTATTCATTCCACTAGGTCATTATTAAATCCTATTTACGGAATAAAATGGTTTAAATCCTACATTAAGAAAGTCATTATGTTTTAGTCTTATTTAGTGCAAATTTCACCAAACTTAATTACAAAAAATCAACTATCAATAATAGAGACCCAATCCTAGTGGGATTGTAAATTTGCATGGGAAAAAAAATAAAATAAAATTAAGAATAAAAAGCGGCCACGCGAAGCAGATTGACAGATCATACAAATAATAGAATCCCTTCCCAAGAACTTCCTTCTTCCGTCCCAATTCATCGCCTATCTTCCTCTCCTTTCTTTCCACCGCTCCCTCTGCATTGTTCTCAAGGTATGCTGTAATTAATTTCATTGATCGCCTCTCAGTTTGTAGTTTCAGAGGTTAATCTGCGTTTGAACGTGGCCGATTTTGTTCGAATTGATTGTTATTGTAATGGTTGAACGAATCGGATCAATTAGCTTCACAGAGAATCGACGAGAATTGGGGGTTTTGATTGTGCGCTTGGATTTTGGGTCGATTTGTGATCAAACATTAGATTGCTGATTTGATTTTTTAATAAAAAAGAAGCAGGAAGTTTTATGATGCGTTTTAGATTTCATTTGTGTTTAAACTAAGGAGATGGGGATTCTGCGGAGTTTGCCAGTTTATGTGTTGGGATATCTAAACTTTGTTAGAAGTATTGAAGGGTATCTCGGATTTTCCGGATAAATATGAATGATTCAATGTGTTAATGAGATAGTCACCTCTAAAAAAGCTTTTTTTTTTGGGTTTGGAGTTGTTCCTTCTCGGCCATGACCGTGTTGTAGGAGATTTGAAGAGTACCCATCACTTGCTTAATGCTAAATAGAAATTTATGATCTCTTTAATTAGTATTGGACAATCCAACACTTGCAACTTTAGAAATTTGTGTTCTTTTTAACATTTGCATTTTTTATTTGATACTAAGTTACTATCATCACCATCTTCTTCATTTGTGCATCTTTAGTTGTTTTTTTTTAAATTTTTTATAGGGGCGTTGGGATGAAAGAATAAATGAGAAGTTTTGTATCATTTTGTTGGGTTTTAAATTTACTTGTGCGCTGCTTTCATGTGTTGCAGCCAATTGTGGTCTGACCTTCATGAATTGGAGAAGCATCGGTCTGTTTTCTGTTTCCTCTAAAGCGGGAAACAAACACATCACCCTTTTCTGGATTTCGTCTTTCTTCTTCCCCAGGTCCTTTGGAAACGTTGTTGCAGTTGAGAATTATCTTCTATTCAGGGTGTTGTAAGGTGTTCTTCCTTTGTAACCTTTGTTCTTGAGGAAGAACCGGGGGAGCGTTTCTCCAAAGTTTAAGTACACCATGGTTTCCGCAGCATTCTCACAACTTCTAGGGAATATATCACTAAAACCACAAGATGTCATAGTGCCAGACGATGCAGGGTTGGAGTTCTCTGATGTGTTTGGTCCTTTGACACATCAAGCACCAGATTTAGATGGATTTCTTTATGAGGATCGCCCAATAATACACACTCGTTCTCATTCTTTGGTTGGTCCAACAACATGTACTAACCCTACACAGAGGCTTAGTAGACTCACATTACGTGAGAATGAGGACTCTTTAGAACTTGTAGCGGGGGTCAGTGATGAATCTGTCATTGATAATGACTCTACTATTAAGGAAGATGAGGTTTTGACAAATGCAGTTGTTGGTCTTGAAGACTTTGAGGTTTTGAAAGTTGTGGGCCAAGGTGCATTTGGAAAAGTTTATCAGGTGCAGAAGATTGACACCTCTGAAATCTTTGCAATGAAAGTCATGCGGAAGGACAAGGTTTTGGAGAAAAGTCATACGGAGTATATGATCAGTGAGAGGAATATACTCACCAAAATTGATCACCCCTTCATTGTGCAGCTTAGATACTCTTTTCAGGTAATAACTTAGTTACAACAAGAGGCATGTAACAAGTTTAGAACAATATTATATTTTTGCAAATATCCCTATAATAATATAAATACTCTGTATTTAACTGTGTATATTGCCATTTTAATGGGAATGGCTAATTATACCTAAATTATAACAATAAAACGACTAAATTTAGAGATGGTGAAAGACAAGTCCTAGGATAATTGATCTCGAACAATTGGGGGACAAAAGCTGTGATTTCCCTTTATTTTTATTGATATTTGGGAGTTGAATAGCCAATTACATGTGCTCTAAACAATTTCATTTTGATGCAGACTAAGTATAGACTCTACCTTGTTTTGGATTTTGTCAATGGGGGGCACCTTTTCTTTCAACTCTGCCGTCAAGGCTTGTTCAGGTATATAATAATGCTTCCTCTATATTACTCATGAAAATAGTTCCTTTTCATTTTACTAAGGTACAAGTATTGAAAATAATTAAATATAATATTTTTTTAAAGTCTATTGACTCTATTCGTTGGTTTTACTAAATTTAGCACACTCAACTTGTTTGGGACTCTTTTTTAAATAGAACACATCAAGTACGACAAATATTAGCTTCTTTCGTTCACACAGGTCATCTTTTGGGGACAAAAATAAGATTTTAAAGATGCCTCCGTTTTTTGGGATGCTTGGAGTAGCATTATTAATTCCTCATAAGTATTTAAGGGTGTGGGAATACCGTTATTTATGAGCTATTAACACTTGGTGTTCTTTTGCAGAGAGGATTTAGCACGCATCTATACTGCTGAGATTGTTTCTGCTGTTTCGCACCTCCATGAAAAAGGAATAGTACACAGGGATCTTAAACCTGAAAATATACTTCTGGATGCAGAGGGTCATGTTAGTATCTCCTTCTCTTTCTCTGTAATCACTTTGAATTTACAGGGTACAAGGAAATTAACATAAATCAAGAAACCATTTCTCAAAGTGAGGCTCTTAGATTAATTGACAGATGAAAACCATCTGTGTACCTAGTTTGATTCGATTTTCTAAATTAGGATCGTAAAAAACAGATTAGATTCCTTAATATTTGGGTGTACAGAGAATTATAAATTTACACACTGTAAATACCCCCCCCCCCCACTCAATCGAAGAATGGAACATTTTATAATCTAAGCAGTGGCTATTCACTTTCAATTGGACATGCCTTAAAATTTATCTGCCCCGGTGTGTGTATCGCAGGTTGTAATAACTGACTTTGGTGTTGCAAAGCAATTTGATGAAAACTCGCGATTCAACTCAATGTGTGGAACACTGGAGTATATGGCACCTGAAATTATTCTTGGGAAGGGCCATGATAAGTCTGCAGACTGGTGGAGTGTGGGCATTCTCTTGTATGAAATGCTCACTGGAAAGGTTAGTTTTATTTTTATTTCATTCATGATTTTCTAGTGTTTAACTTGCACTCTCTTCCACTCACCCCTCTTGTTCAGTCAAGATACACACACACACACACACACACAACTTTGGAAAAGTACAACTTTTTTTTTCTTGTCCCAAAAGAGTTTCATACTTTTCTTTTTAGTCTGTCCCAAAAAAGATTCATACATCCTAAATATATGAGTACAGTTTTAGTTTCTTGATAAACGACTTGTTTTTCTCCCAATGCAGCCTCCGTATTGTGGTAACCGACACGGTCTTCAGCAGAAGATCATAAAGGATAAAGTTAAGCTCCCCAAATATTTGTCCAGTGACGCACACTCGCTGTTAAAAGGGGTAATTTCATTTCTATATTTATTTCAAGTTCTGTTTTATGAAAAAAAATCATGCTAAAATATTTTTTTAAAAAAAAAAATTCCTTCCAGTTACTACAGAAGGACGCCAAGAAGCGCTTGGGAAGTGGGCCGAAAGGCAGCGACGAGATAAAAGCCCACAAGTGGTTGAAGCCCATCAACTGGAAGAAACTAGAAGCTCGGGAAATCCAGCCCAGCTTCTGTCCCGAAGTTGCCGGGAAACACTGCGTTGCCAACTTTGACGTGCAATGGACGGGAATGCCCCTGTCGGATTCTCCAGCTGCCAGCCCAAAAGGATGCGAGAACCCTTTCAGGGGGTTCACTTATATCAGGCCTACACCTTCATCTCTCCATGCCAAATAATGTTGTTTCAAAGACAACCTTTTCGTGACTCCAAACACTTTGGTTTGCATAAAATTGTTCTAGTTTTTCTGGTTCTAATTTGATTGGTTTTAATTTGATTGTATTGTACTCAAATTTCATAAGAATGAATTGTGAACCTGAATTTACTTTGTGCAAAAAATGTTATTTTTTTCAATTCTCTCAACCCCTCCATTCCACTCTCTCCATAAATTGTTGTAAAAAAAAATTTCATGTGACAAAAAAGAAAACTATGTGAGAAAAGGTACTCTACTCGGGGCATAGAGTACCTTGCTCGTTATAGCGTTAAATAAATTGAAAATAAGCATTCAACATATCACTATCCGTAGCCGAATTGAGAATCTTAATCAGAAGTTTTTCTCGACGAATCCGACTTAATCCAGTTTTCAAGCGCTTCTGAATTTGGTTAATGTCCGGTTTTAGAACAGTCTTTCTCTGTCTCCAAAAAAAAGATTTATCATTTTATTTTTGAAACATCTAGAAAAAGTCAACTCTTTCATTTTCTGAAAATTTTGAATAATTCACAATATTTCTCTATTGTCTACGTTTTCACTTTACTTAACATTTGTTTCAAATCAAACTAAGAATCTTAATTTAGGACGGATGAAATAAGATTCTGATTTCGAACCGAAACCTTATCCACTCTTATATTAGACTTAACAAATTTAGGGGCCGGTTCCTGTGAGAATGCACCTTGTGGAGAGAAATGAGAATGAAATCTAGCCGTTAGATCTGATGCATCGTGCGGCTCAGATTGCATCATGCGCTCATATTTTGATATAGTGCATTTTCAAAGGATTATGATGCATTTCGACGTGATGCATTTTCAAACTATTTTGTTGCACCTAATTTTGATGCAATCCTGACCCTTAGATGACACAATCTAAAGCACCAGATTCATTCTCATTTCTCTCCTAAAATTGCATTCTCACCCGGACCAAAATAACAAATTTAAATTTTTTAAACATGGGCCGAAGAAAGAACCCGACTTGTTTACGTGGGCTGAACTCTGAAGAAATACCCGGAACCCGCGGCTTTATATTATTGATCCCTACCATTGAGACCAAACCCTAATCGCCTAACTCTCAGCCGAGCGGACGCCGTCGCCGACGCCAACAATGAAGTACAATCCCCGCGTCTCGAGCTCCCGCCGGAAGTGCCGGAAGGCGCACTTCACGGCGCCGTCCAGCGTCCGGCGTGTTCTGATGAGCGCGCCGCTCTCGACGGAGCTCCGGAGCAAGTACAACGTCCGTTCCATCCCGGTCCGGAAGGACGACGAGGTGATGGTGGTCCGCGGCACGTACAAGGGGAGAGAAGGGAAGATCGTCCAGGTCTACCGCAAGAAGTGGGTCATCCACATCGAGCGGATCACCAGGGAGAAGGCTAACGGCAACACCGTCAACGTCGGAATCCATCCGTCGAAGGTCGTCGTCACCAAGCTGAAGCTGGACAAGGATCGCAAAGATCTGCTTGATCGGAAGGCGAAGGGAAGGGCTACTGGCAAGGAGAAGGGGAAATTTACAGTGGAGGATGTAGCGGCAGCAGCGGGAGCTTCTTCTCTCGATTAGGTTTTCTGATGCTCCTTATTTATGCTTTCTATCTGTTCTTATCATCTAAATCAAACATCTGTGTTTCCTTTTTGAGCATTTTGACAAGTTTTTTCAACCTTTTGATCTTGGTTTTACTTCCAGAACCATCAGATTTTTCTATCTTGTGCAATTTAATCATAGTTTTGTGTGATGATGCCTGCTTTATTAGGTAAATACAAGCATATTATTGTTTGGTTTTCTAAGTTTGAAAGCAAATGGATCACATTGGGCTTTGAATGTTCTTATGAGGTTCATGATGAACTAAATGAACTAAAAAATTGCACGGATTATCTTTAAAAAAACTTTAAAAATTACTCCAATGTCTCCTGAGTTTTTAAAAAGGTTTCACCAATAGTGATTTCTTTAAACCCTAGATAATTATTTCAGTTTTTGTCTTTGATAACCGAATTTGAAGGTTGGAATTAGATAAAGTTCCTTATCAATCGATCAACCTCTTTATTAATCTATGACATGTTCATCAAGATTCAACACGTATATTGATGAGTGTGTAAATTAACGCACTCCCAAATCTGGCACAGAGAGAACGTTGTGCAATACTTTTAAAAATTTAGGGACATTGATGCAATTTTTAAAGTTTGGGGTGAATTCGTGCAATTTTTAAAAAGTTCATGATGCAAAAATCTCGAAACAGATTCCTTTGTTCCGTATTGCATTGCATCAACATTTTCATTTTCTGATTAGTGTTAATGGGACAGTTGCTTATATCTGTGTTTGTTTTTGACTTCTTGCGTTAATTACTATACAAAGATTGAATAAACCTCAGAAAACTAAGTGTGAATACTCTCAAGTATTTGGGATTTTACACAAATACTCCACTGCATATATATATATATATATATATATATATATATATATATATATATATATATATATATATATATATATATATGCTTTGGAGAGTTTTGGTGATCAAAATTCAATCTTTTGGAGCATTCATGTAAAGTCTCCAGTTTGTGGGAGAGTATAGAGTACTGGCATAAAGTCTTGCTAAAGATTCCAGGAATCTTATTGGGTTTGTTTTGTTAAAATAGCTCACATTATCTCTTAGAGAGAGAGTGATATGAGAGATTCTAGTCTCCTGTAAACATCTGATCCGAGGGTCCTGCCAGATTGGTCCTCATTATCCGTCGGACTTGTAGAAACCACCTTGTTCTTGTTGCCAATTGTCAGTCGACTTACCATACCTACAAGGCTCATCAAACAATCTTATCTTTATGTGTTTTCAATAATATGTTAAAAAAACTTAGTTGAAGAGACTAAGGGGGTGTATTCAATCCAGACTCTGTAAGATTTTTTTGGATTTTAAAAGTCAATGGGTATTCAATCAGGATTTTAAAAAATCTTTTTAAATTTAGAAGTATTCAATTGAGATTTTAAAAAGTCTTTCTAAATCTAATGATATTGAAAAATTGATAGATTTTCAAGGATTCTTATAAAGAATGGATTTTGGTGGATTCTTAGCCTAAAGTATAAATAAAAAAGATTTTTGCAAATCCAAAGGAAGGGCCAGGGATTTTGTGGAATCCAAAAGCCTCTTTCACTTCATCTTCTCGGTCTCTTCTTACAGTTCATCTCTTCTTCCACAAATCTTTTCCATCGATCTCCTCTTCCGTCGCGGCGCAGGTTTTTCTTCTCCAACCTCCTTCCATCGTTCTCAAGCCTTCAGAGTAAGATCTTCTCTATCCCAATAAACTATAATAAATTTCTTTTTTATTATGAATTTTTTTTGTATGAATATGGTCCTCTGGCTTGAGAAATCCAGTGTATATTAGAATTCTAGTATATATTATGGTCCTCTATTTATGCTTCCAAGTTATAGGCTTGTTTTCTTCC